AGCACTAACACTGTACATAGAACTGGAAGAAAATACCATACTGGCAAGACCTGCAGATTACCTGCTTCTTGTGTCAGAGAATTATTTATGTACCTTCTTAGCATCTTGTTGAAAGCAAGAGTCAAATAGGAAGTCTTGGAAGTGAATCCAGACGTTACACGGTCGCCAAGTCCCTAACAAATCCTGGAGCTGAGGTTATCGCTAGAGGACCACATTTGGCCACAGCAGAATTCTCTGGCTGCCTCAGAGAAAGAGCCGAAATGTTAAGGAGCCCTTCTTGCACTCAGTCTCAGGCTAAAGCTAGCTTCCTCAAGAGTCTCTGTTTAACCCAAGAATATGAAGTTCTCTTAGAGAGTAAAACTTTGTTTACCAAAGAATAGAATTCTGGTGGATTTAGACTTCAGTTGATCCCTTGAGAGCTCATTTAAATATTTCTTACTGAATTCAATTTTATCTTGGAGTAGAACCCACTCAGTACAGACATGGGTGAACCTGTAACTAGAGGCAAAGGTTAAGGGTTAACTCTAACCTCAAGTAGGCTGTGGTCCACCAGAACTGAAGACTAGAGAATACAGACGGATTTAAAGCAGGAACACACATGTTGCTATTTCTCTGTACCTTCTCCTTTTTCTGTACTTCCCTTAGTATGTTAAGAATGTATCGTATGTGACTTAGAAATCAAATCTGGTAGCGTCCTGACAAGAAATGACAGAAAGTTGGGTTAAGAATAGGAATCTGTACTTTTCCCAGAACAGGTGGGGAATGCTAATGACATCCTCAAAGCAAAATTCCTCTAAGTCACAGTATTATGATGTCTCTCTTTTAGGAAATGCTAATGTATTTTTCTTAAGGAATTAAAAACTACGAACTAGGGTTTGCACAGAAAAGAAACTCTTCTTTGGTTGTGGGTATCTAGACCAAACATGGGCAAAAGATTCGTTTCTTGCTGCTTCATGTATAGGTGAGTCAGGTCGAGAACATTTTAAATAGCCTTTTCTAGAGACTAGAAGCTTAAAGAAGGAAATAATACCAGAGAGCCGGATAAATCGGCAGTTAGAATGGAGTCTCCTTCTGTGGGCATAGGGACACTACTGTGGTGCCTGAAGAGGAAGGACAGGCCCCTGCCTGTGTTCTTGAAGTCTGCCCCTGTGGTGGGGGTGGGGGGGGCTGCCTCCTCTTGGAGGCACCTTATTAACATCTATAGTTAGGAATACTCTTCCAGACAACCGGCATTCTCAAAGTCTGACCCAAGAAATTTTGTATCCCGTGACCTACTCCTTAAATTTCTGTTTAATCATATTGTCCTCCGCCAAGCACTGTATTAAACACTTTGAATTCTTATCTCATCTAAATATCTCGTAAGGTTTGTGTTATTGACCTCATTTTGTAAAGAAGAAAACTGAGGTTCAAAAGGTTTAAGGCTTTTTCTTTTTTTTTTTTTTTTACCTTTGGTCCAAAGTGGCAGAGCTAATTAAGTGACAGGGCTGGGCGACAAACCTGGTTCTGTTAGCGCCTTAGCCCCTAAAGCATGCTCTTCAAAATTCCGTCGTGCCTTTCAACTTGAGAGTGCTATCCTTAGAGGTTTTAGGTTTCATTTCATTAAAGAAGACAGAATCTCTTTTCACCCACAATATTACAGCTCTTGGAAACTTCTGCCTCGAAACATCCTATTGCGAACTGTGTGCGGGATCCGGTCTCCGTCAGTGACGAGAAGACAAGTAACACAGGGAAGGGAGGAGAATATTAGGAACAGGCGGTTCCGTGAGGGCTCATGTGGACAGCATTCATCCTCCTCAGAAATGGCCAATCTGTTGCTTAGCTGCCTTCCTCAGCGCTGTTTAAGTTTTAATTATCTTCCAACTGTCTGAGCTGCTGTTGAGGATCAAAGAGAACAAAGGATAGCTGCTCTCTTCTTCAGCAGTGCCCCTCTCTGCACACTGATGAAGTCACTAGCTGCCACTGCCCTTATTATCAGGTTAAATCAGAGCTGACTGTGCTTTGGAGAGATGATGCTGAACGGAGAAAAAAAAAATTTCATCTCAAACTCTCCCCCTTGTTCAAAATCTTTGGTGGCAGAGAAAATGTGAAATCTGCTCCTGTTTAGGTGTTATGACCCAGAAGCGAGTTTGGCTTTGTTTTTCACAAAAAAATAAGTGAAAAAGAGAGGGAGGACCCTCCTCCGATCGCCATCCCCATCACCTTGGATTTTCAGTAGCTCGGGTAATAAAAACTGCTCTTCTGCCTCAGGGATGCTCCATCATGAGCTCTCTGACAGAACCTAACTCTTCATCAGGGCTGGAGTCTGTGCTCGCCCCCCCTCCCTCTAGCCACTGCTCCCAGGTCCGGGCCTCTGAGTTCTCGGTGTAGAGCTCCAGGTTCCCCTTCTGGTCGCTGAAGTTGGGGGATTTGTGGCAGCCTATTTTCTTACTTGAAGGCTAGATCTTTAGTGAAGGACAGAGTCCCGTGTTAAACCACTCCTCACTGGGAAAGAGAGCATGGTGTCTTTCTTGTGACTTTGTTACCATTTTTTTAGAATGTGTATTTGAATAAGGACTTCATGCCCTTTTTGCAAATTATGCTACAATTTTGTGGAGACTTAGAAAGTATTGTAGAACCAGAATAATTAAACTTGTTATGAGCATTTACGTGTAACGGGCTAATCAAGAAGTGTGATGTACAGTGGCGAATTGCTAATTTGACCTCAGGATTATGCAGCAGAGATAACATTATCTTCATTTAAAGAGAACTTTTAATCTGGAGGCATCTCTCAGTGTCTTTCCAACCATATATATTATCGTGTTTGTTATCACAAGCACTATCATTAAGTCTGTAAAGTGTATTCCTGTATAATTTTCTGTTTTCAGTTTCTTATAATTGGGGGATGAAGGAGGGAAAGGTTGCATATTTTCTATTTTTGATATGTGCACCACAGTTAAATTTGGGAAATGATTATTATCTACAGTTGGAGAACCTGGTTCCATACAATGTTTTTTTTATAAAAAGAAAGAAAGGGAGGGAGAGGACATGACTGCATCCCCTTAAGTCAGCCTGGACTGTTAACCTTAAGAATGCCAATGGGGAAGGGCCCTATCAGTCACTTCCTGGCCCCTCTACCTTACACAGTATTAGGAGAGCTGCCTCTCCTTTGGTGGAGACGCGACCTAGGGAACAGGAGAATGATCTGATCAAATTCCCTAAACCACATTCCCTCAATTCCCTCCAAGGTTACAGACAACAGTACTCACTGTCACGACCATGAGCAGTTGAAAATGCAATGCTGGTTGAGTTCCTGTGGGTTTAAGGAAATGGACAAAATTAGATTCAGGCCAATGTACCAGGCTTATCACACCCCTTCCTTTCCAGAAAGTCTGTAGAGACTGTCACCGCCAATGGTAAAGAGCAGCACAATTCCTGTTCCACACAGACCATTTAGAACTTATTTTACTCGAACCCCACCTACCCATCCAAAGGCAGTAGCATCAATACCTTCTGTCTGCCTTGAGGACTTGAGAGGACAGCTCAGGGCCAACCTCCTGCTTAACCAGAGGACTCTGATGAGTGCAGCTGTCGCCCTGACTCTCCGTACAGGAAGAATGGTGTCTCCCTGCAGGGGGCCTGGGCACACTAAACAGCCAGCCCAGGAGACAGCATTTCGATTGGTTATGAAGATGAGTGACCAGCTCGTGTCAAGGAGCAGATGGCTAAATGAGGTGCACCGGGAATGCCGTGAGATTCATGCTTGAAGGAACAGGAGGGAAAATAGCTCATGACATAAAAACCCCAAATATAGTCTCCTTAATGTGAATTTTTTTTAGATTGGCATTTACATTACACAGTTAACTTGGAGTGATGAGAAATGTAAGGGAATTACCGAATTAGTGAACAGCGATTAACTCAGAAGTAAAATTATATCATTGAAGTCGAAGGTGGTTTTACACAGCAGAGGAAGGATATTACTAAAACCTTGCCCGGTCTGTCATCTCCTAATTGAAATGTGTTCCTTTAATATGCCCCATCCTTCAGAGCGCATAGCTCATAATTTGGGAGAGTGTTATCACTTAATCTAGTTATTTTCCCCGGTTCTTCCTTTGCATCCCAGTAAGACAGTGTGCGGCACATTCTCCAGCGATTTGTGTGACACTCAGAAGAATGAGTTTGTCTGTTCATTAACCTGTGAACTGTCAGGTCCCTCTGGAGAGGGAAAGGAACAAGTCACTCCAAGGTTAATGCTTGTTTGTCAGAGGTGAAGCCTCTAGGGAGACACAGAGGGTGAACAGGCCAGGCTGCTCAAGACCTGCTCCGTGAAACTCCGCACTGTATGCAGACGCCAGAGCCGCATGGCCGGGAGGGGCGCTGCAGAGCTGGCTGGGTCACCTCTGGTCAGGAGAAGGCCTCCCAGCAGTCAGGTTGAAGCGGGGAGGGGAGGCGGGGGGCTGGTGTACGTATATAGCAGGCACTTTCTACAAGGATTTAGGAGCAGCGTTGAAAGAGAAAAAACTGTGAGTGGTTTTTAGTAGTTTCTGTGGATTTTTCTGTTAAACAGGATGGCAGTATTGATTTTATGCATTTGTCTCCAATGGGTGAAATTTTTCCTTGAGTTGGAGAACATCTGGTTTGGCGAGTGTCCATGCACCATTCCTAACCACAAGGAGCAGACAGAAGCCGTGCTTCTCCAGTGTGAATGTCTCATGGACATATGATTATACTGACATTCAGGGCTTGAGCTTCCACAGTACCTGGTTTGATTTTCTAGGTAAATCAAATCTAAGTTCTGCTTAATTCTCCAGAAAGTGGTATCTCCCTAATTTTGCCATCCTGCTTCTAAGCTCAGTTGGAGCTAGCCCTAAGGAGCAAATAGAGGATCTGAAGTCAAGTTCAAAGTCTTCTTTAGTTCATGCCCTGGAACACTGTATACTTGCACCATGTATCTCATTCTGTTGTCTTTGGATTGGTTGTGATGGAACCTCGTTTTCTTCAACAAATTTTCTTTTTACCCCCAGGTATATTCGAATAGTTGGGACTCACAACACAGTGAACAAGATTTTTCACATTGTGGCTTTTGAATGTATGTTCACAAACAAAACCTTCACTCTTGAGAAGGGGCTGATAGGTAAGTATTGCAATTATATATTTTTATATGTGCTAAGATATTTTGTCTTCATATATTTTGCTAGCTCATTAACTTATCTTAACCCACCTCTTAATCAGCTTTGACTAAGAACTGGTTGATTTGAATGCTTTATGGCTGAGTGACATAGGGGAAGTCTTCTATTTTTAGAAGTAGCCAAAATAATAATTCTAGTAAACATAAAAGAAAAGACTATAAATATTACACTAGGAGTTAAGAATTGAAAATGTCCTAGTGATACATTCAGATTTGCCATGTGTGGATGTGGAATGCTTATGATAGTCCAGCAAAGCCTTTTATACCAAAGGCTTTTCTATATTTAATGGTAGGTAAGATCAGAGAAGAAGTCTGTAGAATATTGATCCAATGGTCATGCTTTCCAAGGCTATGGAAGTATATTGGCCTTTAATTGGGTATGAATGGTGTGCTCTCCATGAGGCTGTCTCCTTTTCATGGATACATCCGTCCATATTTGCACTGTTTAGCCAAGTTCTTCTCAAGAAAATGCCTGTCTGTAATTTAAACAAGACCAGAATAACGAATTGTCATTGTGAAAGTCAAGTTACCTTGTGGGAAATAACTGTCTGACTGATCTTTCAAAAGAGTATTTTTAATTTTGGCTTGGTTCTTATTTGGTTGTTTTCTGTTGTGTTTTGTTCTTTTAGGTAATATTTAGTCTGGCAATGTGTGCAGTCCAGCCTAGGTCTTGACATTATAGATAGCGTGAGTGGCTTTTCCCACCCAGCTGTGCCCACGGTTTTTATACCTCTTACAAAGATCCTAGTTTGACTGACTAGATCCTCGAATCTGTCTTTACTGCAGCTTCTTTGGAAAGGGATTCTGCATGTTCAGGTGCCCCTGCCCTGGTACCTAAGACAGAATTCTTTGCCTTTACGAAGGGCTCTGCATCTCCTCTCCTTCCGAGGTCCCCTTCTTGCTGGGACACCTAACATGTTGACACATGTCCTTAAAACACGGTAATGACTAGAATGGGAAGGATGAGTGTAACTTGCAGATGTTTACTAATTCTTGGGACGGTCATAAGTCTAAATGTCCCTAAGACCTGCTGTGTCCTAAATGTAATCCTTTACTTAGGGAAATTTGGAAGAGGAATGTTAGTCAACCAGCAGGAGTAGCCATTATTCTAACGTATAGAGAAATGTTAGAGCTCAGCTAAAATAAATAATTAGGTTTTACCTTTGTTGTAGATATAACTTTTACCATCAAATATAAATGTTACTTATCGTTGTGACTTCAAAGTAATTCGAAAGTTAGCATTGCTGAAGCATTACCTGTATTTTCAAGGCTTTTAATTCCATGGGCTATGTGGAATTGTGGCGATAGATGGTTGCGGGAAGGATACATCCTTTCACCAGCCACCTGTGCTCTGTTATAGACTGTGGCCCCATAGCCTATGTGATTGTGTAGTTAGGGGCGTCCTTACTGAGGAGGCTGTTCGGAGCCCAGCCACCCTCACAGCCCGGGTGCTGTTCAGCGACTCACGTCAGCCCAGTGCACTCTGTTCTGGAAGCTGCCACATGGCAGGCACCATCTACTTCAGTCAGTGTCCCCAGGTTTGTGGACACTGTAATTATCCAAGAAATGGGTATGTTTGGTCCAAGAAGCCATTACAGGGTGAAACTCAGGATCGTTATAGTGAGGGATGCTGTTACTGGTCTGCATTTTTTGTCCAAAGTGAACTCGTCAGCATTATCAGAAGCCATAATGGTCTCAGGCATGTCAAGGGATGAAAGAAGATTGCAGCGCTGTAGGAAGCATGTTCAGTTTCTGGTCAAACACTTTTCTTGGAGCCCTGTTCTAGGACGCTCCCAGGTTTGACTGCAGAGAGCACTGCAATCATCCCCCTGTCATCGTCCCTCAACTGAATGGGAGCAATGGGGCAGGCTGGCAGGCATGTACGTGCACTTGTTGGTAGATGGCCTGCAGTGGGATCCCCTCTGGCCCTCTTCCTACCGTCTTCGCAGCTCAAAGCTGTCCCCACGCTGGGCAGACAGGGAGGTGGCGTGAGTCGTGGAGGAACACGGGGGGATTTCATTATCCTCTGTCTGACATGGCAGCTCTGCTTATCTTCAAGGGGTATTTGAAATAGGAGTGGCCGGCTTTCCATATTGATGGTCTCAGATGCATTTTGGCTGCACACAGGCCTCAGCCAGCCACTCTACAGGGACCTCCAAGAAGGGAATGGTCCTCTAATTGGGGGCACCGTGTACATCAGAATCACCTGGAGTCACCTTTAAATTGGAGCACTTAACTCCTTCCTGCATCTTGTGAAATACGCACTCCTTCCTTGAGAGGCATTGATAGACACTCCGGGTCTTCAGGGGGACAAAAAGTAAAATAATGTCATCATGAGTAACTAGTAAGGTATCAACCCTACTTTTACATTTTAAGATTCAGAACATCTCTCTTTCACAGCTCCCACTCTTTGTTCAGAGTTTAGGCTACTCCCCTTAGAGCAGTACTCTTCTTATAGGCCTCAAAATTACTTTAAAAATATTTGCGTTGGTTTGTTCTTTTTTAAAATATTTTATTTATTTATTTGAGAGAGAGAGACAGAGAGTATGAGAGAAGAGAAGGTCAGAGAGAGAAGCAGACTCCCAGTGGAGCTGGGAGTCGGATGTGGACTCGATCCCAGGACCCCGGGATCATGACCTGAGCCGAAGGCAGTTGCTTAACCAACTGAGCCACCCAGGTGCCCTGGTTTGTTTTTGTTTTTGTTTTTGTTTTTGTTTCGTTTTTAAAGATTTTATTTATTTATTTGACAGAGAGAGATCACAAGCAGTTAGGGAGGCAGGCAGAGAGAGAAGGAAGCAGGCTCTCCGCAGAGCAGAGAGCCTGATGCGGGGCTCGATCCCAGTATGCTGGGATCATGACCTAAGCCGAAGGCAGAAGCTTTAACCCACTGAGCCACCCAGGCACCCCTTGTTTTTGTTTTTAATGAGATTTTAAATGCTATTTAAAATAACAGGTATATTATTACTGACAACATATAATGATGCCAGGAAAAAATAGGCTTTGTAAGATTTTAGTCTTGTTTCCCACCAAAGGGTTTCTTTCCCACTTCTGTCGACAGCATGTCATTCTTCACGCATCTTCACTTGTACAGGTTCATGGGGAAGCCTTGGAACCCTGTGGGTTCATCTATCCCTGGGGACGGGCTTCCCACCCCCGACCCGTGACCACACTGACCAGATCTGGGTGTAAGGCCTCCCTCCCCACAGCGCTTCTCTCACCTCATCTGCTGCTGCTCCCACAGCCCCTTCTCATTGGGCGGCTGCTTGTGGATCATGTTGGGCTGTGTTCTCACCCGGGAGAGCCAGCCTGTGCTCACCGTCTCCTCGTTGTTGGGAGGCATTTATAGGAGTCCCTAACCTGCCTTACCAGTGAGGCATGGAAGGAGTACTTAGAATAGATATGACCGCGTTTTATAAACTTTTCAGTCTCCCACAGAACTCATTTGCTTTGCCTTGACACCCCAGCTTGTGATATACACATGACATTTGCCAAGTCCTTGCAGTTTTTCAGAATAATTGACAATCTTCCCTTCATGTAATCTTGTATTTAAATTCACTTCGTTGAACACCCTATTATTCAGGTAGATGGAATAGTACCCACCACTCAGCTTAAAGAATTGTTAACTCACAGACTACCTGTTTTATCTCTATGCTACCTACTTCTTTCCTATCAGGTTATTTTGACACCAATCCCCGATGATAATTTTATCATCTTATCCATAAATGTTTCAGTATATATCTCTAAAAGTAAGACTCCCTTTTATAACCATAATGACAATATCATTATAATACCCCAAAATTGAACTATAATTTTTTATGGATATTAAATATCCAGTCAGGGGTGCCTGAGTGGCTCAGTCCTTTAAGCGTCTGCCTTCGTCTCAGGTCATCATCTCAGGGTCCTGGGATTGAGCCCCGCCTTGGGCTCCCTGCTCAGTGAGGAACCTGCTTCTCCCTCTGCCTCTCCCTGCTGGTTGTGCTCTCTCACACAAACCTTCTCTCTCTCTCTCTCTCTCTCTCTCTCTCGCTCTGTCAAATAAATAAATTAAAATTATATTAAGTAAATTAAATATCCAGTCGGTGTTCAGATGTCCCTAATTGGATCAAAGTCTGGAGTGAGTTTATGTGGTTTTGGTTTGTTTTTTTTTTTTAAGATTTTATTTATTCATTAGAGCACACAAGCAGAGGGAGATGCAGAGGGAGAGGGAGAAGCAGGCTCCCTGCTGAGCTGGGAGCCCGATGTGGGGCTCCATCCCAGGACCTGGAGATCATAACCTGAGGGCAGACGCCCAACCATTTGAGCCACCCAGGCACCCCAGTTTATGTGTTTCTACAGGTTGCTTAAAACCAGAATTCAGATAAGGTCCGTATTGTTGATAAACAGTCATTATGGCTCTTAAATCTCTTTAAATCTGTAGGTTCCCTTCCCCGTGTCTATCTCTGTCTCTTTCTCTTTTTTTTTCCTTCTCTCTATTATTTGTTGAAGAAACGATTTGGTCTTTGTCCTGTAGAGTTTCTGACAGTCTAAATGTGGGAGATTAAATCCCCGTGGTAACATTTAACATGTTTCTCTGTTGTAGTTTTTTGTAACTTGGTAGATGGATTCTGATTGAATCCAATTCAAGTTCTGGGTTTTTGTTTTGTTTTGTTTCATTTTTGTTTTTTGTGAAAATGCTCCATAGGTGGTAGTATATATGTTTATTAGGAAACACAGAAGATCTTTGGTTACCTTTCTCTTTTGGCTTCCTATTCATTCAGATTATTTCCTAGATTCATTATTTCATAATTTGAAATGGCAAAATCATTATTTTCGAATTGTATCATTCTTTACTTAGTAGCTAGAAAAATCTCCTCAACACTCACTTGATAATCCTGAGGTGCAGTTTGCCAGAGAATAGAAGGATATTCCGTCTTCAAATAAAGAGGTGGTTACCCAGCATCTTCTGC